GAAATCTGAAAACCCGGACCTCAAGCACTTGACAAATTTTCTTATTGACTGCGATGGATAAAAGCTTTTGAATGGCAGTTGAGCTTTATTGAGTGGAGTGCTCACTGTCCTCTGTGTAATTAGCATTCAGCTGTTAGCAACGGAGCTTTAATTGCTTGTTTATCGCCTCTGACCTCCCACAAGGTGCTTTCGGTTCCCTGTCCTCCTATGGGTGTGACCCCTGACCCTGGCTGGTGTTTGTTCTGCCGTCTGCTACGAGATGCTCGCCTACAGTGCGCGGATCCTTTGTTGGCTTCTGCTGCGACAGTGTACTCAAGGTCTTTTTCTTTTTCACTGAAATATGTGTGTGCGAGTGTGTGTACAAAAGAGAGAGCGTTTGTAAGCTGATGGCTCTTGAGAGGTTGTCATTGAAGCTCTGATTCACCTGTTGCTGTACTGGTTTCTCTCAGGGATGTGTGTGCGGGTACGTAATGGAGATAAAGACTGAGAACTTTCAGCCAGAAATTCCCCAGTACAAAGATCTGATCATTGCATTAACCCAAAGGCCTTTAAACAGAGCACAAATTAGGTGTAGTTTGAGTATGTAAGGATCAGTTTGAGAATGTTGAGATCATTTGGAATAACGGGTAACGATTTGAAAATTGTATGTATCATTTTGAAAATATGAGGGACTTATAAAAGTAGGGATCTGTTTGAATATGTATGGATCATTATGAGTTGTGTGGATTTACATTTGAGTAAAATTACAGGGTGAATTTGAGTATGTAAGAATCAGTTTGGATATTAAGTATTTTGGAATTGGTTAAATGTGTGAGTTTTTGGGATCAGTTTGATTGTGTGGGGAACATTTTAAGTATATATGGATCAGTTTGAGTATATAGTGATTAGACTGTGTATGCAAGGGATTAGTATATGGGCATCATATTAAGTATATAATGATTAGTTTGAGTATTTAGTGATCAGTCTGAGTATGCAGAGATCAGTTTAAGTATTTAGGCATCATTTTAAGTATATAACGATTAGTTTGAGTATTTAGTGATCAGTCTGAGTATACAGGGATCAGTTCAAGTATGTGGGCATGATTTTAAGTATATACAGATCAGTCTGAGCATGCAGAGATCAGTTTAAGTATTTAGGCATAATTTTAAGTATATAATGATTAGTTTGAGTAGTTAGTGATCAGTCTGAGTATGCAGAGATCGGTTTAAGTATTTAGGCATCATTTTAAGTATATAATGATTAGTTTGAGTATTTAGGGATCAGTCTGAGTATACAGGGATCAGTTCAAGTATGTGGGCATGATTTTAAGTATATACAGATCAGTCTGAGTATGCAAGGGATCATTTAAGTATTTAGGCATAATTTTAAGTATATAATGATTAGTTTGAGTATTTAGTGATCAGTCTGAGTAT